TACCAGTCACCTTTGTTCCCAGTATATGTACCAGTCTCCTTTGTTCCCAGTATATGTACCAGTCACCTTTGTTCCCAGTACATGTACCAGTCACCTTTGATCCCAGTACATATACCAGACACCTTTGTTACCAGTACATATACCAGTCACCTTTGTTCCCAGTATATGTACCAGTCACCTATGTTCCCAGTACCTATACCAGTCACTATGTCATTCAGTTGAACAAGTGGATTTACGATCAATGCTTGAAAGAGGTCGGGTAGAAGAACTGAAGGATATGTGAAGGCTGGATAGATCGACGCCTGGATACGATATGAATGGATTTATGAGGTCTGAAGGTAGAAGGATTAAAGGGGTTTATAATGCGACAACAGGGTTGGTGATTACTGGATTAAGAGATTGGATGATATGACAACGGTCTGAGTGGCTGGATTAACGAGCTTTAATTGAGAGATCATAGGATTATTGGTAGCTGGATTGATGATAATAAATAATTAATAATGACTTGATCGACGGGTCAGGATAGTAAGACAATCGGATGGTTGGAAAAACGAGGCTGGAAAGCAGGACAACCAGATTAGTGACTGTTGGATTAAGGATGCTTCATAGTTGACAATATGATAAGTCGTCGTAGAATTAAGGATATGAGTATATGGGACAATAGGATTAATAGTTGGTGAATTAAGGATATTTGGATTTGGGACAATAGCATTAGTGGTTATTTAATTAAGGATATTGGTATATGGGACAATAGGATTAGTGGTTGTTGAATTAAGGATATTGGTATACGGAACAATAGGATTAGTGGTTGTTGAATTAAGCATATTGGTATATGGCACAATAGGATTAGTGGTTGCTGAAGTAAGGATATTGGTATACGGAACAATAGGATTAGTGGTTGTTGAATTAAGGATATTGGTATATTGGACAATAGGATTAGTGGTGGGTGAATTAACGATATTGATATATGGGACAATAGGATTAATAGTTGGTGAATTAAGGATATTGGTATACGGGACAATAGGATTAGTGGTTGCTGAATTAAGGATATTGGTATATTGGACAATAGGATTAGTGGTTGGTGAATTAACGATATTGGTATCTGGGACAATAGGATTAGTGGTTGGTGAATTAACGATATTGATATATGGGACAATAGGATTAGTGGTTGCTGAATTAAGGATCTTGGTATATGGGACAATATGAATAGTGGTTGCTGAATTAAGGATTTTGGTATGTGGGACAAGTTGATTAGTGTTGGCTAGATGAACGAGGCTGAATAAAGGGACAGTTGGATCATAACGAGGTTCAGCTATGCTTATATCGTCAGGCAGTTTTAGGATGGATAAGGAATACAGAATTATTGGATTATAAGTTTATTGTTGCGAGGTCGCAGATCATTAGTTCTGCTGAGTTTAAACTTCAATGTAACGCGCTACTTAATAGTTTGCATGATAACAATATTTGATTTTCTCAATCATTTATAATTTTGATAAAAGTTTATCGTGTATTTTTCGTTCCGATGTCTAAGGGGATTAGTTAAATTTTATTATATAAAATATCTGTTCTTACCTCTCAGGTTATTCCTTTCTAACTAAATATTGCATCAATATATATATACATATATAACCTGTGGATAAATAGCAATTGTTTCAAGTGTTTTTGTTGCT